CCAATCCAAGGGCTCCCACAAAAAAATTTTTGGTCATGAATGGGTGCAGAATTATGTTTTTTGTGTGGGGTAATACAAGCGGGTGACCACCTATTCTGCCATCTTATCTCATCCCCTAGATATCTGTTTTAATCCTATTTACCCTGTTTGTGAGGGAAGGATTTCATACTTCAAGAGATACCTATGGAGACAGTCAAACACACAGACCCTACATTGGACATATGAGATTGATGCATATTTATTAATCATACACACTTACAGTCCAGAGGAGGGAGACACCACACACCATGCAGGACCACATAGGGGCTGCATTCGGGGAAAAAAGTGAACAACCATGGGTATGGGATGCAGGTTTGGTAATATCAAGAGGATAGAGTACTCGTTGGTACTCAGGAGGATGTGATTGGCTTGTTTGAATAACTCCACAGGCTGGCATGGAACTGAAACTTCTCAGTAGCAGGAAGAACTTGACCTGATCTATTTGATAAGGCAGGTTCTTTGGCTAGGAAACCTTATTTGCAGGAGCAGAGTAGGGAAGAATCTTTACTGTAGGGCTTTTTATACCCCTTTCAGATGCCCTCAGCTATGACAGAAGCCAATAATATTGGGCCTTAATCTTAGGACTTGCACCATAGGATATTAATGAATCTTAGCTATAGGAAGGGAAAGAAAGATATGAAAATAAAGCTATAATTGGTTTCTTAAAAGTTGCACTTATTTTCAACAAGAGACAGGATTTCTGGTATTTTTGCGTGGCACAATGACCTTGCCTTTGTCTGTACTTAGACGAAATTATTAAGTGGCCCTACTTTGTCTCATTTTATCATGGTCTCAAAGTAGCCTGAGGTTGGTATTATTTCCAGTAGGGGAATAAAATGGCATAGCTCTGAGAGCTGGGCCAACTTCCAAATCTCAGAGGCTGCTATATATTTTTTTCTTTTCTTTTCTTTTTACAGTTAAAAGGGCCTGCTGGTGCTGGGAGGCTAAATTAGATGGGTTGGTCAAGGAAAGTTTTCTAAAAGAGGGATATCAAAGCTCAGCCTTTACCACTAATAAGGAGTCATCCACACAGAGAAGAACTCAGGAGAGTAGAGACAGGAGAGGAAGGGAGACAACCTGTGGGAGATTCCTGTCTGAGGGAAACAGCAAGTATGAGCAAAGAAACATTTCATCACACCCAAGAGATGTGACAAAAACCATCGGGAGCATGGCTCTTTGCTTCAGTGCTCTCTAGGGGTTGGATATGGAGGAAGTATCAGAATCTCAGAGCATGGGAAGTAGACTTTTGGAAAGCCTCGAAGTGATCCTGATACAGTGGTCCTCCCAGACAGATTGTCCCTCACTGCCTGTACCCTTCCCTCACAGATTTAGTTCAATTATATAGACCTTCTATGAAAAACCCGATATTAATTGATACTTTAATATGACCCTGTTTAACATACAGCAAAATTGCTTGTCCAGGAATGTTTTACCAACATCCAGGGAGATAGATGGGATTGTTACCTAGTAAATATGCTTTCAGTGGCAGAAGATCAATTATCCTAGATATAATTTTGTTTTTTCTCTGGAAACTAGACTGTAGTGATTTTTCTAGACCATCTAAAATATATTTGAGCAGAGTCTGCATTTCCATTTAATAATGAAGCATTCCTAGGATATGATTTTTATCATTCCAACCATCTGTTCATATCCAGTTCATGCATTTGAACACTATTACAATAGTTGAGTTGAAGACACCATTGCTACCAATTGGGAATTTAACATACTAACACAGGAAAATATTGACGATGATAAACAGCTCAGTCATCAGAGAATAATGGTTACAAGCATGGACTCTGAAGCCAGACAGCCTAGGTTCAAATGACAACACTATCACTTTCTAGTTTTATCCCTGTTGGGTACGTTACTTAGCTTACGTGCCTCAATTTTCTCACCAACAAATTAGGATAATACTAGTACCTACCTCAAAGGTTTATTGGGAAGAATAAAATATGTAGTAATTTCTTAGACCTGGCACAGGATAACACTATGTAGGACCTAGCTTTGTAATGATGATTACAACTGTGTATTGGAAAAGACCAAAAAAAAAAGGTAATTAATACCATATTTCGATAGTTGATGAGTTAATTATGTACTAACCAGTATATGTAAATGTTCACAGATCTTATTGAGGGATAATTTCTATCACTTATGGTTCTACACAGGGCCTCTCCTCTTGTTCAATGTCAATCACATAATAAATCAGTTTTTAGCAAAATCTGAAACTACGCATTTAATTTAAAATATTTTTGCCTGTCTGCCTGATATGTCTGATTCATTCAAGCCTACTGTAGATAACAGTTTTAACACATCCTGTTACTGAGCTTTTTGGACTTTGCCTAAAGAATACACTAAGAGTCTCAGATCTTTAATTGAGGCAACCGTATTTAGTACCACTGAAATAAGTGTGATAACAGCTTGATCACACAAAGCTTGACATGAAGAAAACACCTGCCTGGTGTTAATAAGATACATGAATTTCAGACAACAGAAAACCAAAGAAAATTACCACTTTGTCTGTCTTGATAAAATACCAACAGAGTTCTCATTCCTTTCATGATATTCAGAAGTTTATTTGAATTTCTATGAAATGTGAACAGAAAAATAACATGGATTATGGGCTCATGGCGGGTGAGGGGTTTTAAAATATTGCTGAATTTTTATACATACTATCAGATTTACTAAGACAAAATAAAAGAAAAAATAAGGAAAAAATAAATGTTGGTTTTGTTCTGGATATTCATTAGAACAAACCAGAGTGATCTGAGGATGAATTTCAAGTATCTGAATAGGCCTGGATATATTGGACATTAGTGTAAACACACATACCCACTTCTTATCTTAAGGTTCAGGGTCTCAATAGAAATACGTTGACTGTTCCTATCAATTGGCACTTTTATGCATAAGAGAAAATCTTTTACTTTCACAAACCTACTTTAGTTGTTTAAGAAAAGGAAAAATCTTAATAATAATAATACAACAGTCATTAAAGGAATAACTTAGTGCAGATACCATCTTCTGATAATCACCCCTCAGAGTCTTGATTCTAGGCTGTGACATTATCAGAGTTTGCACTGGTCACCAAACAGCTTTGACATGGTATTACCTAAATCATTGCATTATTACAAGCAGAACTGAAAAACTACAACTTCTTTTTTTCGGTGAAGTAAGGAAATTCATCCTCCAACAAGTTGAGAGCATCATTAAGAAAAAAAAAATGATTATTCGTGTGTTTGTTGCCAAATGTATACAAGATTTATAAAACCCCAATATCGTATGCACTGAATTGTCAGTAGTTTTTGTTTGTTTGCTTCTTTGGTTGTTTGTTTAGCATACACAGAATAAATTATCTTGTTAGACTGCTTTCTATTTCTAATGAACATGTGTACATATAATTTTTGGGAAGCAAAGTTAATGCCTTTTTTCCCTCCTAGTTATTTATGTTACCTAAAAAATTTTAGTACCTATACCAAAAGGTAGTTAATATTCATGCATAGTCAGCATTTAGTTGACTGTGATAAATTGTCAAAAGAAAGAATAATTGAAATCTATTATACTGCAAAATCTAATTCAATACACTATGCTTAAACTTATATTGTGTCTTAAAGTTGGCCATAACTGCTAATAGACCAACTGAAGATATTTTCATTTTAATTTATTTCATCCTTCCAAAGATTTTGATAACTTTAAACACTGTGTGAATAGTACTTTACAGTTTGTAAGCACTTTGACATAAATTGTCACTTTTGATCTTCCCACTATCCTTATGGGAATGAGAGATTATAGAATTATGAAAGATTTTATTATTCTCACTTTATATATTAATTAATTGGAAATCAATCATGTTTTTAAGGAAATGCAGGTAATCAGCTTTAGAAAAATTAAAAGTCTAGAATTTCAAAGTTTGTGGAATGTATTACATTGCACTGAGAAAACCATTACCTTTTGTCCACAATAACCCATCCTGTCTCCTTGCTGCCCTGTGTCCATGTCATTCTCTCTGCTGTTTCTGGAACTCTGAATGTTTTTCTTCACTTCTCTTCCCTGCTTTACATACCCTGTCTTAAAATGTCCCTGCTTCTCTCAAATATCTAAATCCTGCTCATCTCTCAAGGTCTAGCATAAGTTCCATCCCCTCCAGGAAGTCTTCCAGTCCCCACTGTTCTTACTTAACAATTATAGCATTTACAGGAATTTATTAAGTTCTTAAGTGTTTCATATATGTTCATCTAAATTCTCCTACCAGATTATAAGCACCTGAGAGCAGAGACCAAGTCTTATACTTCTTTGAAACTCACAACATTCTAGCACTGCATATAGATATAATAAATGCTTGCTAAATATTTAGTTATTGTTTAATTACCCAATGGAGACAATGCTGAAACACATCTCATCTTCTTTATCTGCATTTCCATCCCTGTGGCTTGTAATTTAGCCTGTATAATCACTTACTATGGTAGAGTTCAGTGTGGGTTTTTTCAATATGTTCATACATCGATTGACCCTAACATTAATTTCTAACTGTCAATGACGTCCAGTCATATGACCTAGGGGATCAAATTAACTATACATGCCTGATGGATTCTCTGAATAGAGTAAACATTTGGGTCATATATCAGCATTGAGAACAGGAACAGGAGACATTATGCTGTGATTGCGTTTCTATAGAATTGTATTAGCATTACCCATTCTGCTAGTCATAATTTCTCAGCAGATCAGGGATATCTATCAATAGTATTTCCTGTGATATAGCATATGAAAATGCATTCCATTATTCACTGGAAGTGTTGCTGATCAAGCATATTATCCTTATAAACTTACTTTTTAAGAAAGAAATGTTTATGTGAAAATAACATACTTGAGTCATTATGTGAAAAAAGGATGTCATTCTATGACAGTTCGACTCTCTGAAATGTAAGTGTTTGGTTTAATCAAATAACTGCTTTTGTTCATATTTTAAGGTGAATTTGGAGAAGTCTGTAGTGGGCGTTTGAAGACACCAGGGAAAAGAGAGATCCCAGTTGCCATTAAAACTTTGAAAGGTGGCCACATGGATCGGCAAAGAAGAGATTTTCTAAGAGAAGCTAGTATCATGGGCCAGTTTGACCATCCAAATATCATTCGTTTAGAAGGCGTTGTCACAAAAAGTAAGTTACTGAGTTTCTTCATTACTTCTTTCACACACCTATCTCGGTTTTTTTAAGAAAAGGAAAAATCTTAATAATAATAATACCACAGTCATTAAAGAAATAACTTAAGTTCAGATATCATCACCGCCTCAGAGTGTTGATCCTAGGTTGTGACATTATCAGAGTTTGCATTGGTCACCAAATAGCTTTGACATGGTATTACCTGAAAATCATTGCTAACATAACTTGAAGTAATGAATCAAGAGTAAAGGGTTATTATTATTTTTTTTTATTAACAGAACAAACACTTTCAGTGTTTTGGGTCATTAAGGTAAAATATTCCTGTTTAGAAATAAATGTCATATGCAGATATAAAATGCTTTACCTGGAGTAAAACTTATAAACAAAAATTCTGCAATTCTGCATGGAACCTATATAAATGGCATTAGAAGTAAATTATTATAATTTATATAAAATGAATAAATTTTACAATTCCTCAAGTAAAAATTCTTCTTTCACAGAAATAACGGAACAAAGTTTATTCCTTTGAAAGGAAATGTTTTTAAAAATCCAAAATTAGCAATATACTCTAAGAAATAGATTGCTACATATTCACTTTCATTTGCATAATGATAGGGCATAAAATAAGACAATATTTCTCATTACTTTATTCACTAAGCATTATAACATATAAAATCCAATACAGATTTGGCCTTTTAGAAATAACTCCAATCCTTGAGAGAGGCATTTTTCTTTCATAAAACTAACATTTACTTTAAAATCATTTAAATAAAATTGAGACTTTATGTCATATTTGGAAGCAGAAACGTATAAAAGCTTACAAAAGAGATGTAATTGACTTTGTGTCTGAAACTCCTAAGTCCTTCTCACAAGGCGTTGTCCAACATGCTACCCAAAATGAATACATTACGGACAGCTACAAAAGTTTAGAAGACAGAAAAGAATGCTTCTGATGACAGCTGTTGCAGCGGACTATGACTTTAGTGGCCTTCATGGGGCCTTTCAGTGTTCATGTCGTTGTGTAGTTTTTTCCCACATTGATTCTGGGCTTTTCTATGTAACAAACCTTGGCCAATGCGACATTAGCAAGTATGATGAAAGTGAAGACATCTTATATGTTTGTACGTTGGAGCTTGTCCTCTTGCAACACTCTTTTCTGGAACCCAGTCTCTATGCCTACTGAAGGCAATCCATAAGATGAGGCCACATGCAGTACTGCAAAGAAGAGAACTGAGGTGATCCAGCCGATATCCACATCTGAACTCCAAGCAGAATGTCAGCACTGAATGCAGCCTTGTGAGTGAACCATCTCAGGTGTCACACCTCCACCACCACTACTATTAGATAGCTGTAGCTGTGGTCAACATCTTGTGCAGGAAAGGAATCATGCACCTCCGTCCCAGCAACCCATAAATCATAAAAGATGATTAAATGGTTGTTGTTTTAAACCACTGAGTTTCCGATGGCTTGTTGCACAGCAATAGATAACCAAACAGATGGACTTCAGTTAGAATTCTGCTCCTGCCACCTAAGAATTATGCAGCTATGGGTAAATTATTTAACATCTCTATCCTTTACTTCCATATCTGTAAAATGGGATAGGAATGCTGTAAGAATTAAATTTGTCAATGTGTAATACATTTAGCACCCTTTGTGCGTCATTGTAAACCACATTAAATGACATTCTTTATTGGGACTATATGTGCTAGCACTTTATACCTATATGTTACCATTTCATTCTCACAGCAACCCTGATATCATTATCTACATTTTAGGGATGAGAAGCGAAGCCCCAGGCAGGTTAACTAACCCACATAAGGACCTTTAACCTACAATATGTGGCATGACTGGTGTTCAAAATGAAGTCTGTCTCACTTTAAAACCCACCTTTTTTTTTTTTGTTTTTTTTTTTTTTTTGCTTTTGCTATATCCCTTTGAATGGGTTTTATACTTTAATTATCTTATTTGAATTGAACAACATTAAATAAATAACAATTCGAATTAAATAACATAATTCTGCCTTTCAAAATAGGAAAAAACTATTGGGGTAGAGTGATGTTAATTGCCCCTAAAATATAAAATTTGGAAAGAGCCAGCTATGCCATAATACCTGGTAAAGATTATGAACTAAAAGACAGAAACAGAGAGACAGAGAGAAGAAATAGATGTTAATTATTTCTTTCGTATTTTCGGACTTCCTTGTTATTAATTTAACATGAACATTTCAAGTTATTCCTTCTGTATTATATATCTCTGGCAGGCAAAAGATAATTTTAAAGTTGGGTTATGAACCCTTGCAGAGCATTTTAAATCACAATTTAAGCATGATGTTGAAGTCCTCTGATGTGTGTTTATGCATGAAACATCTGGAAATGTGTGTCCAACAATAAATTAAAAGGTTTTAAAAGTGTCATATCTTTATTTTCTTACTTTAATAAATCAAACTATGCCTTTTTCCTGTATTCCTATGTGCTTTATTCACATATTCTTATATGTGAATTACACATCTATCCTTTCTCAATCACACATGCACACACACACACACACACACACATGAAAAGCATAAAAAGATGTATATCCATGTGAAATAGTGGGAATCGTTTATCCTACATCAACTAAATATGTTTGATAAGATATTCTGTGGTACTTGCCTGCCAGTTTGAAATAGTTTATTTCACATAAGTATCCAACTAACAAAAGATTTCTTTACAACTCTAAGAATCTCATCTAGAAATGAGACCAGCGACCTCCACTTAACCACATTCGTATGATCTACAAGTCAAGGTTTTTGTTCCATTTCTTAAAAAAAATAAAATAAAAATCTCATCTCTATTATATGAAAACTGATTGAGAAAGGATAGATTCAGTATACTGTTGAGTGGCAATCACCATTATAGCATTAACTTGTTAGAGTGAGCCCCATATAGGGTGGTGTGGAGCTACCAAGGTGGGTGGTAGAGATGGAGAAAGGAATAATCCTCATAAAGATAAATGGGCAGGTTAATATTGTTATCATCTGGACTCAAGTGCTATGGGACTGTTAGAAGAAAGCCAATAAATAAATGAGTGCCTCATTCCCATAAATTCATGGTAATTGTTCCAAGATTACCCTTAAGTAGCTAAGAGATAGCTAGCAATTAATGCTCCCAAAGGGACTACCCATTGCATAAAAGATAATACTGATGAAGATAAAGATGCAGTATAGGCTTATAAGGGCATATTTGTAGAGTATCCTGGGATTCTGAGAAATAAATTCATAGACTCTCAGTTGAAAGTAACTCAAAATCTAGATCAAAATCTTCATCAGATTCTTTTATAAATTCTTTATATGCATATTTTTTATCTCATATAGGATTTATCTCTGAGAGATAAGTGTTACAAAGTTCTTGGGAAAACTTTGGCTGTCTTTCATATTTGAGCGTGATTTTAAACTTGAAAATTAAATTATTAAAAGCTGTATTATACAAAAAGTGTGTCTGATAAGAGTTGAACCTATTTATTTGATATGCATCACAATTTCATTAACCTGTTAAGATACAAGTGATATAAAAAGAGATTAATTGACGTATAACCGTATGCTTAGTACATACTTTTTCTCCAAGAAGCAAATAGAAGCCATAAGTTAGAGAACAGACTTGTAGCCATTAGTAGCACAGATAATAGCAATTTGTAACAGATAACATATACATCAGTGTCATTAACTATATAACCAAGAGAGAAAGAGCTATGGTTCTAAAAAAAAGACAAGAATTGTGGTTTGATGATGAAGAAATACTGTGCAGTAACCACACGTCAGAATACTGGGCCCTGCAGTTTGAATTTATGATGATGGAAGAACCAAAAAAAGAAGAAATGAAGTGCCTACCTCCCAGATTAGAGAGCAACAACTAAATTTAGATATGCCGACTGTATCTAAAATAAACTCTAAATCCAGTAAAGAGCAATAGAAACCAATCAGGGTAGCAAACAAATTCCCAAACATAATTTCATTTCATAAAAGTATTCCCTAAATATTCCATGAGACAGTATTGAAGTTCTAACAGAAAGTGCTGCCCTTGCTCAAAACCCCCTTTAAATACTCGAGAATACTGTGGGTTCCTTCTGGAGAGGCATAGTGGGTCAACATGGGATCTGGGTAAGAGAGCAGATTCAAGCCAGCCAAATACATTTTAGTACTTGCACAAAAACTGCTTCTCTGGTTCCAGAATTTTGTTCTGCTTGTTAAGTAATAGACATTCCCCAAAATTTCTACTACTGTATTACTGTATTGGCTATGATATCTGCTGTTCTAGCTGCTTATATTTGGGCCAGTCACATAACCACTTTGGGCCTTAATTTTCATCACCACACACACAAAAAATTGAAAAGTGCAAATTAGGCTAGAAGACAATAAAGGTCACATCTACCTTTAATATTTTGTTATTCCATTTTTTTGTTTGTTTGTTTGTTTAAGTTTGTTTTGTTTTGAGACGGAGTCTCGCGCTGTCGCCCAGGCTGGAGTGAATGGCGCGATCTCAGCTCACTGCAAGCTCCGCCTCCCGGGTTCCCACCATTCTCCTGCCTCAGCCTCCCAAGTAGCTGGGACTACAGGCGCCGCCAACCACGCCCGGCTAGTTTTTTGCATTTTTAGTAGAGACGGCGTTTCACCATGTTAGCCAGGATGATCTCGATCTCCTGACTTCGTGATCTGCCTGCCTCAGCCTCCCAAAGTGCTGGAAATACAGGCGTGAGCCACCGCGCCCGGCTCCATTTTGTTTTCAAAAGAAGAGTTATGAGATGTTGGTGAGGAAAATTTGTGCCAGTGATAACTTATCACTCCACCTCCAACTTTATTATAACTTCAGGTGCATATTGATGATCCAATAAGGAAATAGAAAAGTTCAGGAAGCAACAAGCGAAGAAAAAAAGTGTCTTCAATAAAGTTTTCAACTTATAATTTGTAAAGTAGAAAAGTTATAGGTAAAATTTTTCTGTAAGTAAAATCAAGGTGGGGACAT